AACAGAGAGATACTGGGATAGTCCTGACGGCCCAGCTGAGGCACAGGCACCTTCTCCTGGGCCCCAGGAAGCCAGACGGCACAGAGAGGCAGCACCCACATGGGCTCCTGCTTCTACCAGAGGGGCGCTCGGCAGCTTACAGAAATGAATTCTACATCCCTGACTACTGGGAACACTCTCATCATGAGCGGCCTCACATGAAACAGACAGAATGCTGGCCTGAGCTTCTGAAGACTCGTGTGCAGTCCCAAGGAGAGGCTGCAATAGAAGCATGGACCAGTCAGTCACTCCACCCACCCTGGGCTTCAGTTCTGGGCCAAGGTGCCCTCCCAAGGAGAGTTCTCCAGTCACCTCTGGCCTTTCGTTCCGAGTTCAGCCATGGCCAAAGGAATCGCAGGAGGGCAGGTAGGCAAAGTCCATCTTACCAGGTCAGAGAGTAGCTGAAGCCCAGGATGGAGCTGACCAGCCGGAACTCCGATGAGAGGCAGGCAAAGAAGGGGAAGTGGGACAGGCCAACTTCGACGCCTCCGATCAGAAGCACGAAGGCTAGGAGAGACAGGGCCAGAGATGCTTTGAGTCCTTCTTCTCACCGGCTCAGGGGAGTCCCAGGGAAGCTATGCGGCTTCATGCTGACTTGCTGTCATGGAACGCAGGACCCAAGATGAGTGGACAAACCCCAGCTTAGCACAAGGAGGAATGAAGGAATGAATCTCATCCATTCATGCAACAGACCCTTCCTGGTACCTCATCCAGGCACTGGGCTNTGATGTGCCTTGCCTGGGAAGAGCGCAATGATGGTGCCAACTTGGGCCAGTGAAGCAACGTCCTCCACAACCAGACTGAAGAACAAAACGACAGCAACTTGTCTGTTTCCCTTCCCCCAATTCCCCAGCACTGTTCCCATCCCCCCAATTCCCCAATAAAAATCTTTTTAAAAAAAAAAAGACTGTAGGTCTCAATTTGACATCAATGGGCAACTGCTTTCAGGAAACAGGGCATGGGGCCAGCCCCGGCCCCGCCAAATAATGGGGGCTTTAGCCCTTGAGCCTCCAGGGTCACTAGACAGCCAGCAATCACTCACAGCTCCAATGTCCAGGAACAACCCATTCTGCAATCCTGGGGGCAGCCAACACGGCGCATCGTACAACAACTATACCGAGCCACCCCAGGGAGCGCAGGACTGGACCTCAGCCCCACCTCCAGATTCATATTAACCCCACAAATGGGTCCACAGGCCATCCCCACTGGAGTTTATGGCCCTTTGCCACCTAATACAGTGGGGGCTTCTTCTTGGCCGGAGTAGCTGGACCATGAAAGGACTTCAAGTCTTTCCTGGAGTCATAGATTCTGATTATACTGGAAAAATAAAAATTATGGCTGGAGCTTCCAGAGACATCATTCAGGTCCTCTCCACAGACAGAATAGCTCAAATAGTGCATATTCCCACTGTAACAACAGGTAGAACTGCCTCTCAGCAGGCACGAGGGTCCCGAGGCTTTGGGTCCTCAGATGCATTTTGGGTCCAGAGAGTAGGGCAAGAACGTCCCATTTTAAACTTAACTATAGAAGTAAAAGCATTTCAGGGTCTCATTGATACAGGTGCTGATGTATCTGTAATTTCCAGACAACACTGGCCATCATCTTGGCCTGTACAGGAGGCTTTAACTAGTCTCCAGGATATAGGGATACAAAGAGGACCTTTCCAAAGTTCCAGGATATTAACTTGGAAAGACGCTGAGGGACATTCTGGAACCTTTACTCCAGTCATCCTTGAGGGCCTCCCTGTTAACCTCTGGGGATGGGACATTTTGAGTCAAATGTCAGTCATGATTTATAGTCCTAGTTCCTCAGCCACCAATATGATGTTCAATCAGGGATATATTCCAGGCCAGGGATTAGGTGCCTCAGGACAGGGCAGACTGGAGCCCGTACAAACTATTCCGAAGACTGACAGGTCAGGACTAGGGTATCAAAATTTTCCCTAGGGGCCTTGGTATCGCCTGCAGCCCACTCCAAGTTACTTAAGATCAAATGGCTTACAGAAATGCCAATATGGGTTGACCAATGGCCCTTAACTCAGGAGAAACTTCAGGCAGCCACGAAATTAGTCCAGGAACAGCTTGCTGCTGGACACATAGAGCCACCCACCAGCCCATGGAATACGCCTATATTTGTTATTAAAAAGAAATCCAAAAAATGGAGGCTGTTGCAAGACCTGCGAGCTTTAATGCTGTTATGGAGGTCATGGGGAGCTGCAGCCTGGGCTCCCTTCCCCCACAGCTATTCCAGTAAATCATCACTTAATTATTATAGAGTTAAAGGATTGCCTTTTCACCATCCCTCTCCATCCTGATGATAAAAAATATTTTGCATTTAGCATTCCGTCGCTAAACTTTAGGGAGCCCATGCAATGTTTCCAATGAAAGGTTCTTCCCCAAGTCATGGCCAATAGTCCCACAATTTGTCAGATGTTTGTTAGTCAAGCCATCATGCCCATATGGCAATTACACCCAGAGGCTTATATCATTCATTATATGGATAACATCCTTATCTCACATGCTAACAAGGAGATGTTATATCAAATATATGGGAGCCTCAAAGATAATCTTAATAAGGTAGGGCTAGTCATTGCCCCAGAAAAAGTTCAGGAAAACTCTCCATTCTCTTATTTAGGGACTTTAATTACTCAGAGATTAATTAAACCACAAAAGNCTCTATTCCTTCATCCACCCCAGACCTGGGGCTCTTCTAATTTTCCTTAACAAGTGAACGGCAGACACCACCATCCTTCCAGCTGTGCAAGTTAGAGAATGAGTCATCTTCAGCGTCTCCTGCTCCCTAACCTCTCTAGTTAACCCATTATCAAGTCCTATTGTTTTTACCTCCCAAATGTCTTGAGTTGACCACCATCCACTAAGATGAGCTAGAATTGCCTTTCACCTGGACCCCTGCAACTATCTCCTAACTGGTCTTCCTGTCTCCTCTCTTGCCTGTCTCCGACCTGATCCCCTACACTGAAACCAGAGCCATCATTTCAAGACGTAAATCTAATCATGCCACCCTCATGCTGGAAACACTCCAGTTACTTCCCATTGTACTTAGAATGCAGACCAAACTCCTTCACACAGAGCCTCCCAGGGCTCCACCTGGCCTGGCCCTGCCTGCCTCCGCAGACAGCTCCTCCTCAATTCTCCACTCCAGCCACACCAGCCTTCCCAGTTCCTCACACTCTCCATTCTCCCTCCCTCCACAGAGACTTTGCATGTGCTATTCCTTTCGGCCTGAAATGCTCTTTACTGCATCTTCCAGCAGAACTCAGCTCCGTCATTGCTTCCTCAGCAAAGTCTTTTTTGACTCCTCTAAAAGGCACACTGTCTCTCACTATATGGCCCTTAAAAGCCTTCTTCTGCCTGTGTTTTTGGTGCATAATGTAGGAGAGCAAGTCAAGGAAATCTAGCTGATGTGTCTCTGTTGACCTATTCAGGTCCCTGTAGGAGACTGTGTATGGAAGCAGCCCAGCTCCCCTTCCCTACCCTCCTCAGCCTTTCCCTGCCTTTACTTACTGATGGGATGAGGGAGTAATGGAGGAAGAGCTCCATGTCCACCGAGCCCACACAGGTGCCATTCAGCTGCCTGGTACTGAAAAACAGCCAAAAACCACACTGGCATCATTAGTCACTGTTGTAATCATTGACCCATCAGCCTTGGTCATCACTGTCAAGAGTTTGGCTTGTTGCCCACTTAGATCATCTGATCTTTTTTAATTTAGCTTTCTCAGAGCCAATACTGCTCACCTATGGTGTGTCTTCCCTAAGCAGATTAATCTTCTTTCAGATTTCTTTCTCCAGTCTAATCATCTATCCAACTGCCCTGCTAACTGGATCTAACTCCTTCCTTTCTTGAAGACACATCAGGGACAGATTCGAGTTCTGTGGGGCCCAAAGCTTATATAATTTGGAAATACTTTTGAAATGAAACTACAAAAATATCTTACTTTTCTCATATTTTAAGGAAAACATATCACCACTAGATTTGGAGTTCCTCATAGTTAATACTTAACTAAGGTGCCTCCCACCTTCCCGGAGCCTTGGAAGGGTCCTGTGCAAGTGTGAAGCCCTGAGACCCCAATTTTAGTAACTTCACAGGGTAATCAGCCTTTGGACACAGTTTTCTATAACCAAAGCCAAGGGGCTTCAGCCCTGTCCTGACCCACTGCTGGGCTGCTAGGGCAGGTCAGTGGTTATCTAGGAGACAGACTGTGAGCTTTGTCCTCTCCAGGCTTCAAAGTCTGCAGGACAGTCGGCTGCTGGGGCCTCATGTCTGAAGCATGTGACAGCGGTTTTGTGACTTCTCTTTGAAAGGGACCTCCTCCTTTCTGGGGCTCCCACAACACTTTGTTTTCGCTGCTTTGACTTCAACGACACCGTCTCAGCACACTTCCACACCTCCAGATCTTTGCTCACTCTGTCCCCTACTCCAGTAGCATCCATCTAGCCATCCTTGGGCTTCCTTCCCTGGCCAGCTCCTACTTTTCCCTCAGACATCTCAGGGAAGAGCACGCCTCTGGGAGCCCATGAGCATGGCACAGTCCCCTATAATTCTTTAAAATTCCAATGTTTCCTGGTTATGTGTAACCATAGGTCTGAAACATCCTAGAAGTGGTGGGGATGGGGGTGGGGAGGGGTGGGGCTTAAGCTGTCAGAAATGTGATAAAACTGTAAAAGTCAGGCTTATGCTCTTAGGCAGGTCAACTGAGCACATACATTAGTCTCCCCATCCTGTACCAAATCCTCAAAATGTTATAAAAGATGTTAGTTGCTTTAAAAAAAAGAAAACATGACTATATTTGAAAGCAAGAAGGGGATCTATCAAGAACACAGAAACTACTCAAAAGAAGATCCTGAACAGTGCAGAGTGGTTGGGACTAGATCAAAGAAAAAAAGCATCAGTCAACATGGCTACAGATTGTGTGACCACATAGGAAGTGCTCTCCACCCATAGTGCCAGATGGGGCCACCAACAGACCACATAATGATAAAGGGAATTATGCAGGCATTCATAATCAAATAGGATATCCTTCGATGGCCTATCAACAGATTAATTTCTGTGCTACTACGGCCTGGAGAGCACTTCCTACCACAAGGGCAAAGACAGAGGATCTGTCTAATGTAAGACAGGGTCCAGATGAGCCATATCAGGACTTCGTCTCTCGGCTCCTGCAAGCCATAGGGCGGCTCATTAATGACCCAGGAGCCACACAGCTTCTTGCCATACAGTTAGCATTTGAAAATGCCAATTCTACCTGTAAATCTCTAATACAACCTTATAGAAAAAAGGATAATGTTTCAGATTTTATCCGCCTTTGTGCAGATGTAGGGCCGTCTTATATTCAGGGCAATGCTCTTGCCACAGCACTACAAAAGGTTTTCAATCCAAAGCTGCAACAAAAGAGGGAGAGACATCATAAGGAGGGAGTATGCTATTCTTGTGGGCAGGCAGGCCATTTCGCCAGGGAGTGTCCTGGTAAAAATCCCCAAGTAGAGTCT